CCGGGACACGCCCCCCCCACCCTGGCCACAGCTTCCTCTGACCTGTGGCCAGGGGAATCTGGGGATCCCGCGGAGCAGCAGATGTGGTCTAACAAGCCCCAGGGACTCATTAAATCTTAGTGAGCGTGTGGCCACCGGCAGCACTCCAGGACTTGGCTGGCCCCGCCAGCTGCCTGCATCCCCCAAGGGATGCTCTTCTCCCCACCTAAGCTGGCATCCACAGAGCTGTGGTTTTGAGGACTGAGCTGCACCCCACCCATGGGGGACAAGGACCCACAGGGCTGGAGGTGAGCTGAACCATGGTGGCCTCCTGGGACAGCCACCCACAGGGTGTTGGGGCACCTCATCAGCCACCCCTGTCTCCAGCATAACACTGGCCAGGGGGCACCAGGATGGCCATCGCTCGGGCATGGCCATCCAGACCTAGTGGGGGAGGGCAGCTGTTCCTCCAGGTGCTGGAGGAGGCCGCCCACCAGATGTGGCAGTGAGGTGTCACTGAGAATGGCATGGACCTCAGCATGGGGATTGTTTTGGGCTGAGGAGCTGCACTTGCTGCCGCGACCTCAGGAGCATAATAAATCCTGTCCCCATGTGGGACAGATCCACTAGCTTAGCTCCCATGGCTTACGGCTGGTGTGGGGGCTTGCCGCGGCCCCCAAGGGGACCCTGGACACCATCAGGGCTGCAGCCCTTCCAGAGTGATTGCTTGCTCAGGTGCCAGGCTGGCATTCTCTCCCCATTGCAGAAAGGGGCAGAACATCACTGTGAGGGAGGCAAGAGCATCCCTGTGCTGCACTGGCAGTAGCATCATCACGCTGCTACCAGGGTTTTACTCCCTCTCCCTGCTCCCCCCTACCTGGTTGCTGCCAACCCCGCAACCCCATCCGAGCCCCTCTCATCTGGTACCTGGATGGAAACATCGCTGTAGGAGCCCCCGATGACGCCAGTGATGGCAGTGGGCACGTCATCATGGAGAGCATAGGAGCCATCGGGACAGATGTGCTCGGAGCCGTCCACCCTGGTAAGGGAGGCACGGACAAAGTCGAGGGACTGCTCGAGGGCGTAGGTGTCTTTGGAGCAGGTATCGAGGATGTGGGCGCCCAGCCTCACCCCCGGCAAGATGCTCCCATCCTTGTTGATCTCATCCAAGGCGAAGAGCATGGCCTCCAGGCGCTGGATGCCCCGGTGCTCGTTGATCTTGCCACAGTCTTCAGTCCCAACTCCTTTCTCATGAACGGGGAAGAGGCCTCCAATCACCAGGTCTCCGTCGATGCTGATCTCCTTCTTGCTGGCCATGCCGTGCCCAGCAGCCAGGCAGGGGGCCAGGTGCCTCAGCCACAGCCAGGGAGCCCAGGGGACCGCCATGGGGGGCGCTGGGGAACTGGCCAGGGGGCC